CTTCCTCAGTTCAAGTCGTACCCAGTTGGTTTGCCCTCATGCCTGACGCTGCCAGCCCGCTTTCAGGAGATCGCTTGACCCCTCGTGTTTTTTAGATACCGTCAGAAACTCTTCACCTGCGTGCTGGGAAGGGAAATAAGTTATTTCTAAGTCCTTGAAGTATGTGGTTTGTTTTTTTTTTTTTTAAACAGTAAGAACCCAGGCAAATAGGTTTAGAGGAGAAACTCTGGGGAGCGTTGCTAGAGCTTTCCTGACAAAAAAAATGTGTTTCTTTCCCTTTTGAAAGAAAAGAGTTGATGAAAAATTTTGTAAACCCGCACCAGCACAAAACACATACTTTGTGTTCTAATTCTTAGTGCATGAAGGCAAGAGACTAGAAAATAGTAGATAATATTACTAATACTGTTGCCTTCAAATAGTGTGTTTTACCAGGATAGTGGTTCTGCTGGCAAAAAATATCCAATCAGCACTAAAAAAAAAAAAAAAACAAAGCTGGAAGGGTTGGTATATTTACTTTTAAGTGCCCGTGAAATATTTCCAGCTACTGTCTAATGAAGAGATGTTTTCCTATTTTTTCAAAATATGCTATTTTTACAGGGAAAATGAATGTATCTGCTTATGTTTTACTTTGGAAATACTTGGCCTAAATTTGTAATCTAGTTTTCATAGAGATTTGTGAGTGTCTCTATATTCCACTTAGAAATAAAACTCTTAAAATAAGCATAGCTGGGACTGATGCACGGAACAGTGCTGCCTTGTTTTTACAGTGTGTTTTGTAGCTTGCTCTTTAGGCTATTGCTGTACTGATGCAGTACTTAATTCTTTTTTTTTTCCTGAGTGCTCAGACTTGCTTTATTTTTGAAACATTAAAAATGGTCTGGAGCCTCATGTGAAAGTATGGAAAATACCTGTTTAGGGAGTTGTCTTTTTCACCTTTGGATTTCACGTTCTATATTTATTTTATTTTTATTAAGGACTAAGTATATAGTCATCTGTCTGTGACAATATAAATATGTTGTGGGGGATTATGACCGTGAGCAAGGAATAAGCAGCAGTTTTACTTACAGAGTTTTAGGAGACTGCGTAGCTGTGCAGTGCAAAAAGAAGCAGATACAATCTTAAGACGTGCCTCTGAGTTTTTTGTCGTCTTATATTTTAGGAAGGATATATGCAGAACACAGGATGCAGGCAAAATTGCCTTTATAGGGACTCTTCCAGCTCTAGCAGCTGTTTGCAGTTGCTGAGTACCAGTTCTGTTTTTTTGGAAGTTTATATGAAACATCAGCCTATTTCTCAAGTTAAAAATGCTTGAGGTATTTTGTGCTTTGGTTAATTGCATGTTGTTTCACATAAAGTCATTTGTTATAAGGAAGTTTTACATGTTTAAGGAAAGCTGTTATAAGCACTGAACTGAACTTTATTAATTGAACTGACATGTTGTCAGTTCTTGCCTAGGAATAGTTTTAAGCGCTCTGTGTGGTTTTGATTACCCTTTTTGATTGGAAAAGCAGTGTGAAGACTCTTGAATTCTAAAACTGTTTGGAATTAAAAGAATCTGTATATTCCAGTGTTTTTAAAAGTTTATTCTCAAACTGGCAAATGTTATTTAATCGTAATTTTCTTTGGCCTTACAAAACTAGCAGTCTTCTGTTTTGGCTTGAGTATTTATAGGATTCATTTTGCAATCATTGTGTAATGCTTATCTTTTCTGTTCATTATCTCTAAATTAGATAGTATAGATTAAAAAATGGATTTTGAGAGCTGGATTCAATTAGCAGTTTTTCAGGACATAAACATTAAAGGTTTAGATGGAAAACATTGTTTTGACTGACTGGATAAATGACAGGGTAATGTTTGATGTGAGTCCAAGAACTGATCTGGAGCTAGTGCCCAACTTCTCAGTCCATCTTGAGGAGCCAAATAAAATATTTAACCTAGGCCTCATTTTGCAGAAAAGGTTGGTTCTTTGTTGGGACCTTAAGAAAGTTCTGAGAAATGTTTGGCATACCTTTACACTAAGTGTTTAACAGTTTATTTAGGTCTGGGTTCCATAACAGAGAAAAACCACATTGGTGGCATACTTCTAGTAAGGTTTTATTTGGTTTACAGTGAATCTGTGTTGCATGTTTCATAAAAGGTGGTTCTTTTGCTCATGGCTTTCATTGTCTGTCATAAATATCACTCAAACCTTTAGTCATATGTACATTGATACATTTTGCACTGTCTTGGGCTAGAAAGTTGCTGCATAATTGTTAAGATCCAAAGATTATGCCTTCTGATGAGACTTCAATTCTAGTATGAAGTGTAAGTGCTTGTTTCTCAGAAAAATAAAACGAGTGTAATTTAAATTAGCTTAAGTCTAGAATTGCACTACTCTTCTTCACAATTTATCTTGGTAGCTAACTTAACGTTATCCAAGGGAGCTGTAATGTATTACATGGAAAGTTCCTTCAACTCTGACGTTTTTACTGCCATGTTTTCAGTTCTATCCTGAGTATATCTGAGTTATACAAAAACTGCAAGTGCAGTCATCCCTTTCAGTTCTATTGTGATTTTTCTCACTGTTTTATTGAATTTGTTGATTTGTAAGTATACTATACTCTCCGGTAGAACCCCCATCTGGAAGACTACGTTAATCTCATGTTCTTCAAAACCTAGAAATGATCGTTGCTTTCAGTTCCTTGGTAAATATTTTATGTCTTAATCTGTGAATTATTTGATGTTAAAATAGTTGCATATGACTGCATTCACTTAGGGAAAATATAAATGACAGTTACCTAAATGAAGCATGTACGGCTTTATCAAGCAGAAATAAATTAAAAAATCAGTTTGAAGTCTGCACACTGCATGGGCACTAGAACATATTGAGTTCAATGAAGGTTAATGCATGATTTAATTTAGTTCATGTGTTATAGCTATCATTTCTGTTTAGACTAGTTTACAAGTGAAGATACTTTGATAGCCATAAAGCACAGTTATGCAGTACTGTGAAAGATGGCAAAAAAAGTTCCCACGGTTAAATTGGAATGATCTGAAAGAGTTTTGTTGGTGAAGAACGTGAGGCAGGCCCAAAGAGGTGTTGGAGATCTGGCTTTCAGGATGTCTGACAAAATTTGCCAGTTAGGAGAGTAAGAGCACTGGATCGTTGTGTTCTGG